GGAAAACACACTGCATGCGTTTCCTCCTTTTGTGCTAGTGAATCTGTGTATACAAACTCCCATTTAATGTTTTTCATAATTTAACTCATTATTTCATCCGACAATAACAATTTTATGTATTTATGAGATAGCATGAGTCACTCCACTACAATATTGATTGATTTTCATCTATTAGTCAAGGAGAAAGGAGGAAAAGAGAACGAGTGAAAGAGAAATCTTTTTGTGCACTGGTTCACTGCCAGGACATGCTTATATCATGTCGTGGTATAAACATACACTTTTTCTCAAACATTCGTTCTTTTCGTGCAAATGTTGAAAGTCCTTTCTTCTATGTTTTTTTTTCCCATTGATTTGAGAAATATGAGGTGATAGAGATATGTAATTAGAGAGACCTATCTGCTTTTTAACTACACAAATGCCTGCTGGGTTTGAGCTGCACCAGGACTAAAGCAAGAAATGATGAGTTCAGCTTAGGTCTAACATGGGTGGCAGAAACAAAATTACTCAGGTCGCCAAAATTATTTGACAGAGATAGGAAGAACTCCCATTTCCAGGTACATTCCCCATATGCCCTGGATGGCCTGCACTGGGTTGAGCCAAAACTCTCAAGAAGGAATTCAATCCAAACCTCCCCAGTTAGTGACAAACACCCAGTTATTGGCGCCATCACCACTGCTTCCCGACGACTCATTGATAGGAAGCTTGAGTCAGCTGTCAGGGCCAAATATTGTAGCCAAGCGCTGGGACGTGGGCTGAACTGTCTTGAGTGGCTGCTCCTCACTGTAGTTTTAAGGCTAACCAGCCTCTCAATTTAAATGGAAAGCATTAAAGGAAAGCTTTCAGAATTTATTTATATTTCATTTTTAGAGATTTTGTTGTATTTCATTTTTAGAATTTTTGTTATATTTCATTTGAATGCTATATATCTAATTGGAACTTTCAGTATAAATTATGAGGACTTTACTACCTTTTGTTTGTAATCTAATAACTGGGAGGACATATCATTGTAGGAAAATTTGGGGGTGTTTATAAAATTAAAGTTTTCTACATACGCCTACATTTTATATTCTATAGTGAGAGGAAGAGCATGGTTCAAACATAGTAATCAATGTAAAGAATGTGTCTTTTTGGATGAATGCTATGATTCGAAAGACATGATTCTTTCATGAGTTAATTACATTCAAGATAATAGGCTGCAATACATTGTGTGGTTTCTGAATTTCTAAGTGAATTATGAAAACCAAACTATATGCTCTTAAGTAAATTAACGACAGTCACTTGTGACTCAGACTGCTCTTAGCATTAGCTATATGAGTAACAGTACAAGAAAGATCACGCATCACACTGTGTCCACATCATGCAGTAAGTTAGGCTATCTTTTGATTATATCCTTTTAGTAGAAGCTTGGACTTGGCACATGAAGTGTCCTATTATTTATACTTTTGGGTTCCCCATCGTTTTCAATGAAGATTCAAAAAGTAAATCAACAAATACTCCTCCTGCTACGGATGAGTTTGCAGAACATTCTAGATACCTCAGTGTCAGACTCCTGTGATTTCAATGGTGTTTCATCCGAGACTTTTTGTTCCCCCTAACCTAACGTTTAGGAGGAAAAAAGTCTTGGAAGCAGCTTGATTGACAATAGCCATGAGTAGACCTAGGAGATAAATACAACCATTTAAAGAAGCAATTTAAGTAGTTGTAGCCTCTTGAGCCAAAAGTCCTCCTATGTAACTCAGAATTAACTGTTGTGAGGGAAGTTACTGTCTTGCAGCTGCTAACATCTGAGAATCTTCTGAATTGAGAGGATCAGGAAATGTGTAAATAGTATTAACGTTTCAGATTAGCTTCATTTTATGGCACATAATGTGCATTGTAAGAAGCATAATGGTAATTAAATGACTCAGACTCATAAAACTATAATGAGTAGAAAATACATGCAGAAGTGCTAAGATTATAAACATGGACAGGGAATAGTAAAATGAAATCTTAATTGAAAAAAATGTGAGGCAAATACTTGAGAAAAAAGCAAACAAGATCATCATTACAAGACTAAACTTTTAGACAATTATTGAGTTTTTGTTTTTTTAGAATTTAAATATACTACTGTAAAATACATGTAATCACATTATAGAAAGTTAGGAAGCAAATATAATTAAAACTAAAGAGTCTCTTATTAATAGTCCTACAAATATGTATATTTGTTTTGTAGCATTTCAGATCCGTAAAGATGTATCTAAGCAAGCATTTTGTCATATTATGATCCTAACGATTTGTAACCCACTATTTCCAGTTTGTGCTCTGTACCTTTCAATGGCTGAACATTTTTATCTCATCTACAGCCTAATCCATATTTAGACCACAAGTCGTCCAAGAAGTGGCATTAAAGCTAATTTTTTCAAAGCGGGATCCAATTCAGCATGACATTTCCCATCTGGCTGTTACATGTAATAAGCCTTCTTCGTTTCAACCAGTCATGTTTTCATGAGTATCATTATTCCATGGAACCTGCAGTGTGTCTTCTGGAATGATCCCCCTAATCCACGGTAGCTTACTTCCTTGTAGCTGATGACTTCATCTTCAAGATACTATTCTGTAGTGATAAGGAAATACTTGCCTATTGAAATGACTACCAAAATGTTTATTTATTTCTACGTGCATATCAATTTATATTTAATTCTTATTACATATATTCTATTTTTATCTTTTATTTTATCATATATTTTATTCTTAAATGCAGGAATTGTAGTTCTTTATTTTTTTAGGTTCTTTGCACTGCCACCATTCTCACATAGTAGCAAGGGATTTCAAAAGTATTCAAAATCATCTAAATAAACTACTTTGTGAAAATATTGGAGATAAACTCTGAAAGAAAAACCAGAAGAGCTGACTTAGTTTCTAAATATATTAGATTGTTGTGAACTATTTATCTTTACTTCAATAAGATATAAAGAACAAAAGTGGTTTTTTTTTAACTGTTGGAAGTCAACATTTTTACATACAAAAAAAACCTAAACAAACATTTTTAATACATTAATGTGCATTTCTATAAGTATATACTAGCTATTATAAAACAAATACACAGAGAAAGTCAAGAGTTTGGCCTAAATCTACAACAGTACAATGCTGAAAGTATTTGTATTTATACATAGTGTTTTTGAATTGAAAACATAACTTATGAAATCAAAAAAAAAATGTGTCTTTTCCTGCAGAGGTGACTTTTCAATTATTTTCTGCTCTGGAGCATAGATGTTTTTAGGTGAAAAGAAAGAGATTTTCTAACATATGTACTTAACTGGCACCCTCAAACATATGATCTTACACACAAAACCCACATCACAATGATGAGTTTGTAGCCATGCAATAGTGTAATTTTCTCAATGTAGACTTTTATGTCCTCAGAAAATCCCATTTAGGAAAATCTGCTTGAATTATAACAGCGTTTCGATATTCGCCAGTGCATTGAGCTGTCAGGAAACAACCTTTAGAATGAAGTAAATTTTAGGATTATTCTGTAGCTTTATATGACAACATAGCATTCATAATTTTTAAAGATATGATTTCATTTCTAGAATCAATTACGTTGGTTTTTCTCCAACACTTCGCTGAAATTTCAAAATCTTAATTAGGGCTGTCCACTATCATTAGTTCTGATCAATTTTTCGAGTAAAAGTTTATTTTACAAAAGCCAGGTTTTTTTTTTCTAAATGAATGTGGCTACTTAGAATAGATTCTTCTAAAACTTAAAAATATAGAATATAAAATATTTTATTATGGAAACTATAGGAACGAGCTGATTTTGTTAGTTTCGGCATCGTGGTTGCATAGTCAAATATTTATTAGGTCCACCTATGAGTTTTGCTCCTGGTTATTTGCTATAGCATGCAAAATTGATGTACTTCAGAACTCTGACCGCCAAAACCTCATAGAGAATGCTGTATCATAGAACAGGAAGTTAAGAACTGCAATTCTTACTGGCTCAAGCAAGGCAAAAATTGTCTTGGAAGACAGTAAGAAGTGTGACTTTCAAAATTGTATCTTAAAAAAAAAATACATTGGGAAAACATTTTAAGAATAAGTCACCAGGCAATCTTCTTCCTAAGCCCAATTATTATCCATGTCTCTTCACATAATATTTAATGTGCATCGTCTTTTGTGGGTGTATGTTTGCTTAGACTTTTAGTATAATAGACCTATTTATTCTCATCATTTTTATTTTGAAAATATCAGATCCAATTCTTTATCTCTTCCATTTGCTTCTTCTGCCTTGGTTGTCCTTATCAGAATTCCAAGTAGCACCTGTATGCAATATCAACTCTTGTTGGTATCCTGGCATTGCACAGGTGATAGGGTTCGTATTTCTTCAGACCACACTCATTTTTGCTTTAGAGAAGCAGTTCTCAGCTAAGGCTAGTGTCTAATGAGGTCTAGCAATAGTGTCCTGACTGGGACTAGGGAAAAGACTGTCACCTAGTGGAAGGAGGTCAGAGATGCTCTAAAATGTTGTGAAAAGTCTAGGGCAACTCCAATCACAAACCAATATTTATCCCAAAATGTCAATAGTGCCACTGTTGAGAAAACTTGTTCTAGAGAGAATAAAATCACGCTGTATAGCAATACCATTAAAGTGTACATTTCATTTATTCACAGATCACAGAATGATGTGAATGTTCCCACAACAACCTTTGGTTTATGTTTATCATTCTGTTATCAAAGTTTGCGTTTTCTCACCAAATTGCATGTTGTGGCCACTCCTTCACAAGGATCAGTTGAATGAGCATGGTTTATTATTTCAAAATGGGACAAAACCAAACAAAATGGAGCTGTTTTTCATTTAACCCTGAAAAACAGCTTATTACCGCACGAATGCATTTTTGCTTGCATTGCGTCTCAGTGACGAGATGTGTGATGTGGGCAGGGTCATGTACAACTGCTTTCCTCCTTGTGTGTTTTAACTCCTCATACGTTTGCTTTTCCTCTTTTCACATTCTGATTGACAGAACTCCCCTGATTGCAGCCGGAGTCATTGGTGGGCTTTTTATCCTGGTCATCCTGGCTCTGACGTTTGCAGTTTACGTTAGACGGAAAAGCATCAAAAAGAAAAGAGCCTTGAGAAGATTCCTGGAAACAGAGGTGGGCGTTTGTTCCTGTGTTCATGTTTGCAAGGATCTTCATTGGGTCAAGAAGACACTCAGTTGTATCAATGCAAGCGAAAACTGTCCAGTGTCCTTATGAGAGAAACTATATCTCATTGTATGTTACTGATGCAAATTGGAATGTATGTGAGCAGTTCAGAAAGGCCCACGACTACAAGAAGGTTGGTGGGAGAGGCAGGGGAATTACTGTATTGGAGAGGAATCAGGCTTGCTTCTTCGGTGGGTTTCCCACTACCAAGCTCACCTGGAGACTGCCTGCAGACAGGGTGTTTCAGAGGCAAAACTGGCAAAGGGACGGAAAAATTGGACGTTCTCTAGTTTAGAATAAAACCAGGCAGGAAGCAGTGTATTCTTTAAGTAAGATAATTAAATTGGTGAAAGTTATCATTACGCCAGCAGTGAAAGACTGAGCTTACAGGATAAATCTAAATGGTATAATCACACATGCCTTACAGGCCAATTCATAGGATGTGTTTAATATTATGCATGGTGGTTATTGTGAGTATGTGAATTATACTTGTTATTATAATTTCTTTTATATTGTCACATTCAGCTGAGAGTTTTCCTTTATACAGGAGACAAGAGAAAAACAATTACTGAAAATTATAGATTACCAGAGCCGCCTATTATTATTATTTTATGATACCGTTCCATAAGCTCTGGGTTTTCCCTTCCCACCTCTGTAAGTTATTGTAAATTTCCTTTTTTCCCCTCTGTTGTTGATTTTGTTTTATGGCTTTTCATTTAATGGGATGTACAGTAACTGTCATATCAGATGTGAAGATACAATGCAGTTTACATCACTGCCACCAGCACCTCCTTAACCCTCATTCTTCTCTTGATGGGCAGAGCTGTGCCTGTCTGAATGATTCATACCAATGCTGTTCTGAGACTCGGCGTTTGATGGGTCCGTTTTCATTGTCATTGTTATTATCACAATGTATCCTCCGAACAGTAACATAAATGAGGATGCTTCTTCTTTTATAAAGATTGCACACTAACAATGAATTTGACCTCTGAACTTCCAGAAATGAAAATTACACAGAAGAAGTGTGTGAACATTTTAGGAAATGACTTTTGCAGCTACCAGCAGGACACTATTTTCCAAGATTTGGAGTTATATGAAATTGGAATGGGCTATTTCGTCAACAGACTATCAAAACAAAGTCAATAAGCATGGGAAACTGTAGTAGTAATTCATATGGTATCCTAGATGCTTCTAGGTAAACCAACTTGGTCACTTTCCCCCTTGCACTTTCAAAGTTCACTTTTCATGAGAATGAAATTTGGAAACAACATACTGTGCACACTTTCAATTTAGCTGTTATTCCAGAGGTGGTTAGATTTTTTCCTCATTGATAACTTGGGGCAGCCAACAAGAGAATTCTGCAAAATAATGTAGAGTTGGACAGAAATTGAAGCTTTGGAACAGAGGTGGACATTTAGGTGATTGGATTTAAAAAGCAGAGAAATTAGTCTCTTAACCACAGGCAGGGAAGGCCCATAGTTATAAATAGAATTTTGTTACATTGTTATTTATTTTTTTAAATTTTGTATTCTTAAAGATCATCCTCAGAATTGTCATTTCTTTACTGAATTTAATGTATGGATTGGCATTGCAAACTGGTTCTTATTTTGTATAAAAATTGTCTTAGGACTTGATTATTTTAAGGGTTTTCTACAATGTAGCCAAATCCTTAAGCATGAAAGCTGGGAATCCGCATCAGATGTGAAAATAAAATATTTAGGAATAATAAGTTGTTGGAATCCACTTAAGGATGAGCTACTTTCCCCTAATCCCTATTTTTCTGGAAGCTTTCTTCTGTTATATACAGAAAAGGAAGAGCCATATACGCTTACTGAGATAGACTGTAAGCTGGAAGCTTGCTTGATGCTTTTCTTCCCAACCATACTGAAAAGATCTGATCCAGCTCTAAGGGAGTGACTCATTCACTGCCTGCTTTGTGCCAAACACTACTCCAGAATTCTCCAGCTGTGTCATCTCTTTCCCTTTCTAATTTCCAAGAGTGGGAGGTTAATCGCTTTCTTAAGTTTGTGAGAGCATTGAAATACATTCCTCCAGAGTCCAGTACTGTCCCCTTGCCGCTGTTTCAGTGTTGGCTCACAATATGAAACCATAATTCCTTTAAAGATGGAACTTCCAGTTTTTAGGAAAATGAGTCTGTGTAATTTTTAAATGATACCCAGGATTAATTGCTAGAGACGAATCATCGAAGATAGTACTGTGGATTTTTAAAACAAATATATTAACTTTCAGCACGATTTATATATATATGCATATATATTTATACATAGTTATTTCTCTATATACACATATACATATATGTAATCAGAAATGCTGAAGCCTCATCTTCAGCTTTGAGTGTAACCCTTTATGACTTTGTATGTGATTTTGAAATTAGATACATAAATATGATTTATTATGCACATGTTAGAGGCATACCGAAATCCACCAAACAACCCCTGCACAGCAGAGTTGTCTTCCAACAAAAGGAATTCCCACACAATTTAGTTGAGTAGAGTTATATATTATCAAATGTATACTTTTACACTATAAATCTGAAAATGAAATAGAAATTGGTTCGTTTTTGAACTGTAATATAGAAACCTGTTAGTTCTTTTTAATACATTTGTTCTAAATTCTTCCTGTTGCTGCACTTACCTACATTCAAGACTGTTCCTCTAATTAAGTGGACCATGATGTTCATGGAAGCATGATAATAATACACAGGCTGGAGGACCACAGCGCATTTAGCCTTGTAAATAGACGTTTTGAAATGCAGTGGTGGTTTCAAGGCAATTTGAGTAGGAGTAGTCCTTAATTATTTCCTTGTGCTGGGAAAGAGCAGGCTATTTGTCTGTGTCTAAAGTTTAGTTCCTTCTTCAACTTAAAAGAGAAAAACAGAATTCCATTTCTCCGACTTGCTATTTTCCTCTCCTATGAACAACCTGTGCTTTCTTTACCTTGGAATGTAAGCTTTATGGTACCCGCCTCTCTTGTGTAATTGTCTTTTCTCACTGATGCCAGGGGCCAGCACACTTACATTTCCCAGGTCATTTATCCTCTCTAGCTCAATGACAGCCATACTGTGCCATCTTGTTTTGCACATTGTCCTCACCTTCCAGACCTGACCAAGAGCTGAGTGTGTCCCCTTGGCTCGTCTCATCATTCTCCCTGATGCTGTGCCCCGGCAGTTCTGGTGGTGTTTCTCTTCTAATGAGAATACATTTTCTTTATCTAGAGACTCATCTGAGGCCTTCATTTAGGAAGTCAGAACTAATGAGGCTCCTTCCCCAATAGTTTTTGTTGTTGTTGTTTCTTTCCAGTCTATGCCATTCACTAGTATTCTAGAGTCTATGATTTATAATAGAATATTTGATCTAGGAGAGAGTTCAAGGATCTGCCACTTAGAGTATGTTCAGTGATCACTGTCATATATCGGAATTCTATAAGAAGGCAAGGTTTCATTCCTGCTCCATTGTAACCTGGATCCCCATGTTAAGAAGCTGACTTGATTCAGACTACATTGAAGTTTTAGAACCACTATCCTGGGATACAGTACTGGCATTGTGATTTTTTTGTCCTATTTAGATTTAAATAAATACCATTTCCTCTGTGTGTGTGCATCAGATGCCTTTGCCTAGTATGTTTCAAGTTGGGCACACATTGATTTTTTTGGGGAGTATGTGTTCCACTGTGCAAAGAGCAGAGAAACAAGGGATAGATTCTGAAGAACTGGTTAAATGGGATCTGTGGGTAACGGTTGGTCGGTATAACAAAAATGGAGTTTGTGAAAGACAAGTGTGCTTTGTTATCATACCGTACCTCCCAAGGAGAACTGGAAAGGCAGGGAAGGCGTGATTGTCATACTGGAAGCTGAACCTTCTGTTCTTGCCTTGCAGCTGGTGGAGCCCTTGACGCCCAGCGGCACGGCACCTAATCAAGCGCAGCTTCGCATTTTGAAAGAGACTGAGCTCAAGAGGGTCAAAGTCCTTGGCTCCGGCGCTTTTGGAACAGTTTATAAAGTAAGTAGAAAAAGCAGAACAATGCCATGAAGTCTGACTCTACAAAAATATAACCAGAGCGATTGGTTGACTTAGCAAGCCTGATCTCTTTTTTACAATTTGAAAAGGGCGATCCTGTTAGTATTGAGAAGCTGCACAAATAAATTCATTAATTTTATGTTTGAATAAGCTAGGATGTACACAGTCTTAAGAGAAAGCAGCTAAATACTAATATATATCCAAGCATAGTTCTTTCCATCTTCCCTATAGCAATATCCAAATACCCGTGAAGGCCACATCATGTACCACCTGTGTAGTAATCTGTAGAATCCAAGACATTCCTGGACAGTGTGCAAACATTTTTCCTCTTTTTTTTACAGTTCTTTTTTTTTCTGAAACTATCTTTGTCATCCTTATTCTACTGACCTCATTCTATTGACGTGCTTGTATGTTACTAGGCTAAGACAACATCTTCAAAGTCATAACTGATGTCTTAGTCATGCAGTTTAGCAGTTGCCTGTCAATGTCCCTGACTTTGTTGACCTTGTTATTATTTAAAAACTGTAAGTTACCTTCATATGTAAAATTGAGCATACATACGAGGAAAGGGTAACATTAGGACATTAATTAAAAATTTGAAAGGCAATGAGACAAGAGGGAGAGACACAGACAGCACAGAGTGGAAGAAGAATCAAAGATTCTGCCATGTGTTGGTTCATTACACAAAAGGGGAAAGAGCCAGCACTCGGCCAGAGCCGAGCGAGCAGCCGGGAGTTCCATCCTAGTCTCCCACATGGATGCAGAGGCCCAAGTACTCCGGCTGTCTTCTGTTGGCTTCTCAGACAATATTAGCAGGAAAGCTGGTTTGAAAGACAGCGGCCAGGACTTGAGCCAGCCCTCTGAATGAGATGCCCTGTGCTACAACACCAACCCTAGATTTTTAGTATACACGTTTTGTTTACTCAAGTTGGAAAATTATAATGTGATCACTAATTTGCACAGGAAAGATTTAGGCTGACTTAAAATGTTTTCTAATCTTTAAATTTCTTTACACGTTCAAAAAAAATACAATGTATCCTATCTATTTAGATTGTGCCTAAAATAAACTTCAAATACATCCTTGTATATGCCTAAACTTTAATTTTTAAAATCATATCTAGTCTTTTCATGACATCCATAACTTCATTCTTTACATAATTCTGTGATAAAATGCTGCCAACAAATTTTGGGGGGTTAATAAATATAGGATACTAAATTTCCATGCTGAGTTTTTGAAAATGAAGTGGTGGATGCAAATAACGGTGAAAATCGTTGTTGAGTGCTAGCCACAATGAATAAGCCCACTCACCGCAGTGTTGACCCAGCTTGCTTGGTCACTGCCCCAGTATTCCATATCCCTAGGTAGAACTGACGATTCTATGCTGAGCTAAGGGAAAAGATGTAGGAGGATATTGGAGCATCCATCTCCTTAGCGTCAGACCTACCAAATCTGCATGTTCTGTTGCAAAATGTAATATAAATCTGTGCTTGTTTATAAACAAGGAATAATGATATGTGACCAATTTAAATGCATTATACAACTTGGATTGTTACATCAAGATAACATAGCTTAGAGATGAAATTTTATGTTAAAACCATGGAGATTCTGTACTTCAAGTCTGAGTCCTATTATCATGGATAACTATAACCCGTTAAGACATAATAAGAGTTGTGTTATCATTTTTACTAAAAGCAAATATTTATATCTTGTGTATGTTTTACTTTTGACTTGAAATGAAACTTTACTGGAAGTTTAAAATATTTAAGTATATGGTAGAAGCTTAGTTTTAATCAACCTGTCAGTTAGTACAAGATACAGTCTTAAAGGGTTTTCTTGACACAGAGATGTACTTTTCCTAACTATTTATTTGGTTACTCCCTTCTTAATTGTAGACATCCTACATTTATATTTTGTGTATAAACAAAATATTAGAAATCACATCACAAATATCTGTATGTCTGAACTTTTATCTTATCAGGCCTAGGAAAGAATGACTGCCATTCCTCAAAGGCAGTACAATTCATACTGAAATTATTTTTTCATATTTTACCTTTAAAGATGTATTGTAGCAACATTTTTGTATTGAGGCTGTCTTTTTTCTTTCTTTTAATTTTATTTGAAATATTGTTTACATAGTTGAGAAGGATGCATGCCATGTGAGTTTCCTATTAGGGGCAGAGGGGTACGTGAGACATATGTACGTATATATGCATACACACAGATGTGATTCACGTTCACACATGAAAGCTTATAGAGTTGTTGCAGAAGTATTGTACAACGCACTAAATACATGTCTGTTGTTTGAAAGAAAACCGTAAATTCAATCATTTAAAGAAAATTAATATATTCATCTATCTAATAAAATGTTTCTGCTATAAATGTTGTATATACCATAAGATACATTTCATTTTTTTTTCCTAAAAGGGCATTTGGGTACCTGAAGGAGAAACAGTGAAGATTCCTGTGGCTATTAAGATTCTTAACGAGACAACTGGTCCCAAGGCCAATGTGGAGTTCATGGATGTAAGTACAGAAACCTAGGCAGTCTTGTTCTTATCTATCAGTCAATGTACTGCTATGAAAATTAAAAATACTCTAATTTACAAAATTTATTTCCTGTAAATGATGCAATCTTAGAATTAAAGAAATTCCTAGACCAGTTCATTGCTTCTAGTTCACTTCTATCTGAGTACGTAGCGACTAGAATTTGGCTTTGGAATCTGAATTATTTGAAATACTCACTATTAGAATGCATATGGGTTAGCTATTTATGTATTGAATGAGACATAGAATGTTCATATATATAATGGTAAATTTAGGCAAATGCCTTTCCAGTGAAAACAATACACAATTTATGCTGCAGGTACATTTTGAAAATTATACAGGAACCAGTGAGTCGTGTTTAATAATCAGATATTATGGGTATATTAAAACTGAGCAGTATCAGGAGTGTGTGGTGCTGTGGTGGCAATGAAAATCACTCATATTCAGATAACGCTTATTGTTGTAGGTAAAATAATGGTAATAGTTATTATTATTGTTTATAATTATACTTAGCACTTTAAGTTTTAATAATATTAAATGTTATACTTAATATATATTTTATAACATAATATTACATTAAATATATGACACAGTGAGTGATATATTAATGATATACTAACTATAATATTTATTGAATTATAGTAGTATTACACTTATTAAAACATATTAATATTAAACTTATTAAATTAAATAAACACTTAATACTATGATGAATATTTTAAAGGAATGTTAAATAATAAAGTGTTTGGCAAGTGCAAAGCACCATTATAAATAATTCACAAATAGTTACTCATTTAATGCTAACAGAATAAGAGTATTGTGTTTGACATTGTATCAAATTTTTTTTTAATTAGGAAAGCAGCTATTATTTGTAGTTAAAAGAAAGAAAATATGAACTGGTATGACTTTGTTCCAGTAAAACTTTATTTATGCAGACAAGCTGGAGACTACATTTAGTCTGAAGACCAGTCCAGGCTTTCAAATACCGTGTATTTAACTGCTCTGTGAAATTGCATTTTGGAAATAGTGATGATAACTCGAGAAATTATTTGGACTGCTGCATGTCATAATGATCTATTTAGTTGAAACCAATCAGCATTGGCTACTATAGTAAGTTAATCTATTAAATTTAACTCAAGAACCAGTCTGAGCCAGATTGAATCTGCCTCGTGAAGTTTAGTTCTTTCATTCAAATTCAGAAGACATGACTACATAGGTTAAAGCTATAGCTATAGAATAAAAAGGGCATTCTAAAGAATAAAATCACTCTATAAGCTCAATCAAAACTTTTGTGTTTCCTTAGCAAAAAAATTGTAGATTGAGCTCTTCAACAAATTTCAAAGAGTTGAATGGAATGAAACTATATATGTAACATCTTTTTTCTCACACTCAACACAAGGTGTCTTACCAGGAGTTCCATCAGAGTGCCTTCTCGGTACCAAAAAGGGTATTAATTTCTTCACTAATCGTAATTTTGATTTTCAGATGACCATTCCATGAAAGATGATGCAAGCATAAATACTTTGATTTTCACTTTTAAAACATAGATTGTGATATATTTTTATTCAATTTCTCTTGTAGGTTTTTAATACATTTTATAGTTCAGTCCATGACTTTGAATGATGTGCTTGGGTATAATATTAACAACCTTGTAAGAAGCTGCTTTAGCTATTACATATTTATGTTATCGTAGAGTATGGCTGATTGTCAGCTAGTCTGAAGCAGTCTCCCATCACCTGGTGCTGTGCTTTGTTAGTGTTATTTTAAACGCTACTTGTTGCTTCTGCATCCTACCAGTGCCTGAGGAACACTGAGTCCAGTGATGAAGTTAGGTTTCCCTCTGCACCTTTTTGAAGGATTCTGACATTCTTTACAGATGCATGTCCTAGCTTGTCTGTTAAAATCTGGAACTGAGGCCTTTCCCATTGTTTTTCCAACTACTCAGTTTGATCTTACTCATAGCTACAAATTTGTTAAGGTATGTTTACAGGGGGTAGCAATTATAACAGGAACTTAATGTTACATAGAAACAATGTAGATTAATATACAAAAGTCAGGAAGAAAAGAGCTTGCATGGCCGAGGCTAGAACCACAGCTGAAATTCACAAGAATTTTAATAATCTGCCGGAGGCTTGCGCAGTCGTTTTTATCACATTTCCATGGAAACAGAATGGCAAAAGGGGGTTAAGAGGCTATGAAATAATCACCTAAAAAAGAAACTCTAAAAACCTCATCATGATTTTGAATGATTATTTGAAAGCTCCTAACCCCATTCTTTTTCCCCCCCTTGGTCTGAACTCTATTCCCATGGAAACAGGTTTGATAATGGCAGCTTTAAGTCTTAGGTTTCTGCTGAATTTGAGATGAGGCTCTGATTGAGCCAAGAACCGAGTCCTTTTCCTGTATGTTGATGGACTTCGTAAACAAGAGATTCCAAAAGTTTATTCTTTTAAATACCAAAAAAAAATTTTTTAAGTAATATTATGACTATATCTTTCCTGTTTGTGAAAAGTTGCTAGGAAATTATAGACTGGTTTCCTGCTATCTGCAGTTTCAGCAGCTTCAGTAACTGGCAGGGAAAAAAGACTTCCTCCTATTTCAGTGACTTCTTTCAGAACCTTATAAAACAATCATCACCGTTATTAAAACAGCTGAGTTAGTACTCAATGATGAATTGAGTATTTTAAGTAAGCTGGAGTTATTTTACTGCAAACATATGCCTGCAATTTATATCTACAGTCTTCACTCATCTGTTATGTGTCTACATCATTCTAAGTATTTGAATAAAATAGCAGATCATAACATGTTTTTGTATACAATAATATTGATAATGTACACCTAATGATTCAATTAAATTACAAAAAGCCTGGAGTTGCTACACTAACAGTAATGCTTTGATATAAATCTGAAATTGCCTTCTCAAGAAGGCGAAACCAATCATGAAGCACGAATTTAAGGGGAGGTGGTTTATTTTAGATGTATAAAAATTTTTATATACATATTTGTATGTACTGCCTCTCATTTTATAGAAAGAAAGTAAACCTTCACAAAACAATGGAAACTGCATAGTCTTATCAAGCATCAGACTCCTTTACCTATCACCTTATTTTGTTCTTAGAATAGAATATTTCAGATTCAATAACCACTGCCCTTGTGTTGGCCAGACAGCTGGATCATAGAATGAATGACAATGATGCAGCAACTTAATATGCAAAATTCATCACCATATCCAAACCATCTGTTGATACATAAAGGCAGAACAGAAAAGAGTTTTTACTGTAGGGAAAAAGAAGGGACAATTTTTATTCTATTAAATGTTGCACTAAAAGCAAGAGGAGAATTTGGTCACAGGGCTGTTCCTTGCTCACCTGCATGGGTCTAATGGATTCATAATGGCGGTAATAACATACTGGCGGTGAATGGCTGGTACATGCCTTCATTCCCATAAAACTACTTCACATTGACTAACATCAAGACAGCAACTTGAAAAGTCCACCTTCACAAAAAGAATGCTTGGATTTATACACATTGCTAGTCTTTAGTTTAAATGAAACCAGTTCGCTGAGGGAAACACTGGCTTTATGTAAGTGGAGGACACTGGGAAACAGTTGTTTGTATTTTAAAGCCACCCAATAGTACAAGTATATACTTAAGATGTGATTGAGCAAGTTTCTAGAATCACAAACTCTGGATTGCTGAAATCAGACAGGTTTCTTCCATCTCCCCACAACTCTTTTTCCTGGCAAGCCTAATAAGAGCTGATGTTGCTTTTAAATGTTTTGCCTAAATTGTTTGTTTTTCAAAAAGAAAGGGGAAAAAAAAGGCCAAGGATAAAAGACATCCTGTAATTATCCTAAATTCCTATGATTGATGGAGGATACTGCGTGAGTGTTTACGTGGGTCTTCTTGGCCTCAGCTCTCCCACATCAAGTTCTCACATGACTTACAGTAAATTGCTGCAAGGAAGTGCTGTAAGACACGTGACCTTCTGTATGTAAATGGCAATATTTTTTCAAAAGAAAGCCAACTCATTTCCATCTTCCTATTTTAAAAGAAATTTTATTTCTCTTATATAATTGAGATTATTCTATTTTCTGAAATCATAGTTGTGTTTATATTTTTTCTGTGTTGCTTCTATGATATTCGGTGTCCGACATCTCATAGGAGTTTTCAATTTTTAATCGATGCCATATCATGATTTGATATCTCTCAAATAATAGAAGAGTTGCATGTTGTTCTGTAATATTTGCATCTAGTAAAATTTCACATGTATGGCTTCATAAAGCTAAAAGTAACTCCTAGCTACATGCTTTTTCACATTCGATAGTTGATTTTTAATACACATACCATTTAGCCTAATTATATCTTTTGGTCTTGTAGGTGTTATTCATTTGTATTTGTGAATATACTTCATCTGTTTTAGGAATAAAATTTTCCATAACTTCTTTACATAGGGTCTGTTACTTAAATGTCACAGGATGCTAACTGCTTACGTGATCTTGAAAAGTCAGTTAACCTTCCTTTCCTTAAGAAAAATTGCAGCTAAAATAATTAAGGAAAGTTATTTTGTTTGTAATAAAAGAGTATAAAAGATATAGAATTTAGAGTCTTTCAAAGCTCGAACAATGAAAGAATAGCAAGGACAAGCACAATTCCCCAGTGAATAAAATAAATCATTTCTGCTATAGTTCACCCACCGGCCCTTGTTCGTAGTTGTGAGTTAGACAGAACTTGCTGATGAGTGCAAACACCACGTCGGAAGACACCTTTTCTCCAGCCATATTTTCATGTCCCTCCAGTTTCTTTGTATTGAATCTTTTGTGTCTCATATTATATCTTCGCTGTTACCCATGTCATGCCCCCTTGTAGGTAATGTAGATTTATAATTAGCCCTTATCATCACATTCTTACAAAAACTTCATTTTTTCTGCTTCTCAAAATCATGTAGACAGTAATAATCATAGAAACATTGAAATTGC